CCACTGCAATAAACTTTTATTAAAAGTGTCCTTTGTCCATAAACACTGTGACCATAACCGTAATAGATTTTCTATTCCAGTAAGGCCAGGACTAACTATTAATACGTAAAATTACAAAAAAGAAAACAAAAGAGCTTAGGTTTGAAACATCCCACCCCCAATAAGATGTGCAACGATCAGGTCACTCTTGAAATACAAAACCCGATGCATGCAGCCAGCCATTCCACAACCGAGCAAACTGTCACCCAGGAAGGAGAATTCCTAATACAACCACCAGGATGGGGGGGTGGGGCCGGAACTCGGGGCTAGGAGAGCAGGGCCACAAGGAGCAGCAGTAACTCGTGCGGCGGAGGGCGGGGTAATGAATACCGGGTTGGGGAGAACCTTTAGGGATCCTTTTCAAGTCCCCCCCCCCCCCGAGGTCTGGCCCAGGTCCTTGCCACGTGGACGCCGCTCCGCGCCGGCTGGAGGGGGCACGAGGCCCGCGCGCCCCGGGGAACGCTTCACGCCCGGCCCGGGCTCCACAGCCAGGCCTCGGCTTCGGCGCGCGCCAGCCGCCGCGGCACTCCGGGCGTCCGAAGCGCACGGGCCTCGGGGCCTGATAGGTCACCCGGCCTGGGCGGGAGTTGGAAATAGCCAGCGGGAGGGCTGGACTGCATCTCCCCGGGTCCCCACGAGGGTGTTCTGGATAAAGGCCAGCTATCCGGAGACCGGATGGACGCGGATGGAACGACGGCCTAGCGGCAGGCAGCAGAAAACTTACCTCATTGCTACTCTCTGGTCACAAGCCGGGAAAAGAACAAAAGTCTCGTCGCAGGCGTTCAAGTATTGTCTCAGATCTCGCGAGAGCGACCTCTAGATTTTAGCTGAACCCGCCCCCAACAGTACCTTTTGACGAAACGTGCATGACGAAAAGGGAGTGGGGAGGGGCAAGGAGGAGCACAATGCGCATGCGTGCTGCGGACTCGGGTTTCTTCTCCCCTGTCACCTACCTCTCCTTCTCTTTATCTCCCTCTCCCCCCTCCCAGGCTGTCCCGAGTGAATGAATGACGTCCTTGTCCCCACCCCTCTGCTGTGAACGGATAGGCACCAGCTCCAGGTGGAAGGGGAGTGCTGGTATCCCAACCCTTATTCTATGGAGGGTGCTGGAGAAATAAATGCCAGGAGAGCAGTCTATATATGCATGCAAAACGACCTTAAGAGATGTTAGAACTCTGGTTACCACCGTGCAGTCTTGAGTACCAACCTCCCCCCTACCCCACCCCACTACTACTTCTACCTACTTGTGCAGGAGATGCAGTTAGGCAATGGAGATACAAAGCTGTATCAGACAAGTAGAATCCAAGAAGCTTCTGATAAAATGAGCAGGTAGACATGCACAAATTAATGAGAAACAAAGGAAAGTGAGATGAAGTGAGTCTTGCCTTATTAGCTGTGTTACTATAGGCAAGTCCCAGCTGTTCTGAGCCTGTTTCCTCATCTATCAAATGTAAAATACCTCTAGTACCTACCTCACATAGTGGTTGTGAGACTCCAGTGAGATGTCACTTTGCAAACTTAAAATATTTTATGCATCAGTTACTATTAGAGAAAGACTTATGAGAAAATCTTCTGAGAGCTTTGAACAGGGAGACACCAGCTGTGTGGAGGTAGTAGAGGGGGAGGGAACAGAGGAGGTGAGGTATCAAGGAAGTCTTCACGAAAGAGGTGGCAACCAAGTTGGCTCTTGTGGGACACTGTCCCGGATGTGGGGGAGGACAGTTTGAATAACAAACAGTACAGAGATGGGAGATGGCAAGAAGAGGGGATTGTGTTTGTCTTGGTTATCGAAGACATGAAGGAGAGCAGTGCTAGATAAGGCTGGGGCAGCAAAGGGGCAAAGTGGATAGAGTGTTGGGCCTGGAGTCATGAAGACTCATCTTCCCAAGTTCAAATCTGGCCTCAGATACTTCCTAGCTGTGTGACCCTGGACTACGTAAATTACAGGGTAGAAAAGTGGTGGACTTCGGGGTCGGAATGGAGGCACGAGTTTTCAGACGTATCAAGCTTTATTTTGTACTACTGACTACTCTATTAGTTACAAAGGAAGGTTCTGTAGGGGATTAGGGAGGAGTCAGTGGGACATGACAATTTTTTAAGAGCATCTATAAACTGTTTTAAAAAAGAAAAAAATGTCTGGAAGTAGAGACTGTAAAGATATTTCTGACTGGAGCTATAAATATCTAAAGAGACAATTTGGGCTTGGGAAGATATATGAACTGATGCAAAGTGAAATAAGCAGAACCAGATCATTGTACATAGTAATGGCAATAGTATATGATGATCAGCTCTGAATGACCTAGCTATTCTCAGTAATACAGTGATCCAAGACATTTCTGAAGGATTTGTGGTGAAAAATATTATCTACCTCCAGAGAAAGAACTGATGGAGTCTGATTGCAGATCAAAGCATACTTTTTTTCACTTTGTTATTTTTTCTTTTGCAACATGAAAATGGTTTAGATGATTTCATATGTATAGTTGATATAAAGGTTCTTGCCTTCTCAATGGGAGGGGAGGGAGAGAATTCTGAACTGAAAATTTTTAAAAAAGTGAATGTTGAAGATAAATGATAAAAGTGTATATATAAATATATATAAGTTTAATCTCCATAAATGTTTTCTGAAGTCTAGAATAATCAACAATAAATCAAGCCCTGATTTGTTGAGAGAGAGACACACACACACATACACACACACACACACACACAAAGTGCCAGTTTGGGTATAGTAGTAAGATTACTCAGTGCAGTTAAAACTTTTGGACACCCTGTACTGTTGTCTCCATTTTTACGGCTTTTTATTTTATGGATTTATTGATAACTTTTATTCTGATGCAACAGATACTTTCCAAACAAACCATTTACAAAATATATTTCCTGATAAATTCACAAAAAGGCTAGTTATCCTTTAACTTTGGCATTATGGTACTAAAATCAACTGGAGTTTTGTTCTCTCTCCGTGTTGACATTATTGACATTGTTGTATCACCCCCACATTATCAAAATTGAGAGGGTAGTACACATTACTGCCATATCACAGATGACTCTCAAGTGTCTGCTAAATATACATTTAGCTTACACTTGAAGCTAAATAAAAACTCACACTTAAGGTTCTGGCATCCAAGGCCATTCACAACTTAGCTACAATGTACTAATTTTTGTTGGTGTCCAGTTGTTTCAGACTCTCTGTGACCCTATTTAGGGCTTTCTTGGTAAAGATACTGAAGTAGCTTGCCATTTCCTTTCCAGCTCATTTTACAGATGAGAAAACTGGGTGAAGTGACTTGCCCAGGGTCACACAGCTAGGAAGTATCTGAGGCCAGATTTGAACTTGGGAAGATGAGTCTTCATGACTCCAGGCCCAACACTCTATCCACTTTGCCCCCTTGCTGCCCCAGCCTTATCTAGCACTGCTCTCCTTCATGTCCTCGATAATCAAGACAAACACAATCCCCTCTTCTTGCCATCTCCCATCTCTGTACTGTTTGTTATTCAAACTGTCCTCCCCCACATCCGGGACAGTGTCCCACAAGAGCCAACTTGGTTGCCACCTCTTTCGTGAAGACTTCCTTGATACCTCACCTCCTCTGTTCCCTCCCCCTCTACTACCTCCACACAGCTGGTGTCTCCCTGTTCAAAGCTCTCAGAAGATTTTCTCATAAGTCTTTCTCTAATAGTAACTGATGCATAAAATATTTTAAGTTTGCAAAGTGACATCTCACTGGAGTCTCACAACCACTATGTGAGGTAGGTACTAGAGGTATTTTACATTTGATAGATGAGGAAACAGGCTCAGAACAGCTGGGACTTGCCTATAGTAACACAGCTAATAAGGCAAGACTCACTTCATCTCACTTTCCTTTGTTTCTCATTAATTTGTGCATGTCTACCTGCTCATTTTATCAGAAGCTTCTTGGATTCTACTTGTCTGATACAGCTTTGTATCTCCATTGCCTAACTGCATCTCCTGCACAAGTTGTCAATCATTAATTCCTGAACTGAATGAAAGTACTTCAGGTAACCAAGAGTTCCCACCCACCCTGAGTCCCCTAAACAAAGAGGTAATTAGCTGGGGAAATGTTGGGTAGAACAAAAAAGGGCAGATGCAGCAGTAGCTTGGGCAGTGGAAGCTAGAAACTGGTGTGCATCTCACACACAGGTACGGGAAATTTTCAGTCCCTGATTCAGATCAGTGACTTTTTCATCTCATTTGACTGGGCAAAAAAAATCTTAGAGCCCACTTGCCACTCTGAAAAACAATACACTTCACCAAAGTTAATGGACAGACTGTCGTTTTGGATGAGACACTAATGCTTTCTATTCAGTATCATATCCAGGGATTAATAATTCATGCCAGAAACTGTAATTATGTCCATTTTCTAAAACTTTTAATATGTCATTTTTTATAATCACAAGGGATTTACCCTCAAGAAACCCCCTTTCCACCCCCTTCCACTCCTAAAATGCTCTACAGATGATACTTTGATAATCCCAGGGCTATACACTGTAAGAGGCAGCTAGATGGTGCAGTGGATAGAATGCCTGGCATCAGACACTAGCTGGTGACCCTAGGCAAGTCACTTAACCTTGTTTGCCTCAGTTTCCTCATATGTAAAATGAGCTGGAGAAGGAAATGGCAAGCCACTCCAGTATCCTTGCCAAGAAAACTCTAAATGAGGTCACAAAGAGCAGGACACAACTGAAAAGCAACAAAAATATTTTGTAAAGAATGAAATACATTTTAGGACATGGCTAATATGTAACTCTGTTTTGCTGGACTAATTATTGCAAGGATTTACTTCTTCCTAGATTTTCAAGTGAGGAGAAACTGGAAGGAAGATGCTCTAAGCAACAGTATTGTTTAAAAAAAAAAAGAAAAGAAAGAAAAAAAGGTCATTGAAGGATTTTGTTTCAAATTCCCAGAAGCAAGACAGAACAAAGTTCAGGAGAAAACAGGGCAGTTTTGAAAGTAATATACTGAATTTATTATATATGTGTGTAGGAAAAATACAAGTTGTAAGAAAGTCATGGTTTCAAGTACAATCCTCTTTATCTGATCTACTTTGTATACAGCAGAGGCATCAAACATGTAGCCTGTATGTGACCCACAACACTCCAGAGCATGCTGGAACCAGATTAAAATGTAACAGGGAAATATTTAACAAAACAAATAAAAATACAATAAAACATATATAATATTACCGTGGTTTTCTAAGTCAATATGAAGCCTGGAGGGATCTGTATATATGGTTTAGTGGGCCCCATTTCTGTTGAATTTGACACTACCGACACGTGGAAATGAACATCTTATTTGCTGTTTGTTAAGTTCAGAATTTAAAAAATTAAAAAGAAAATCACTGGGCATGTAAGAGACTTGGATTATTTACTTCACCCCTGAGCCTCAGTTTCCTCAATGAGAGTGACAATACTTGCATCATCTATCTCACAAGTTCAGGTCTCTGGTCTAATCCATCTTTCCCCTCCCCGATTTCCATACCAGCTATCCTGGACTCATAAAGACAGATATATATACCCTAAGAAAGTCAGTGATAAAAAGAAAGGCCTCATATACACCAAAATAATTATATTTGCATCGCTTTTCACAGTAGCAAAGAACTAGAAACAAAGTAAGCACCTATTGATGAATAGCTAAACAAATTGTGGTTCATGAAGGTAATGGAATATGATGAATACAGAGAAAGATGGAAAGAGCTACACTAAGCAGAGTGAAGTTAAGCAGGAACAAGAAAATACATAAAATGACTACAATGTAGATGGAAATAGAAGCAACAAAACCACAGAAATTGAATGCATAAAATTAAAATGACCAAGCCTGCCTCCAAAGAAGAGATGAGAAATGAATCTCCCTCTCTTCTTTGTAGAAACAGGGTGCTACGGGTGGGGGAAACCACAGGTAATGGACTGGATGTGTCGGTCAGTTTTGCTGAACTGGTTGTTTTTCCTCTTTGTCATTCTATGTTAAAAGGAATGTCTCTCAGGGAGGGGTAGAAAAGAGGTATATATGGGGAAATGTAGGTGATGTAGACAAATCAATAAAGTTTAAAAATTAAATAATTTTTTTTAAACCCAGCAACCCTGAGCCTCTGTTTGGGTCCACTTCCCCAAGGCTTCAGCACAACTGACAGCGAGGGAACTCTACAGGGGGTGGTAGACATCTCGGGGTAGCCATGTGCTCAGTTCAGACTTGGCTGAAACAACTCTGACTTCCCTAAGTTGGTAAGAGCACCCCGCCACACACCCCCAAGTTAGTCTCTAACTCGTTTCCATTTCTTCCTTCTCCATCTTCCTGGACCCACCATTTGTACTGTAGGAGAAGAGGGTCAGAGCTGACCTCTGAGCATTCAGGAGTAGCCACTGGGATGGGCAGGCAAACTTGTCTGGCTGTTCTTTCTCTACCAGAGGGCTGGCAGTGAAGGCAGGTGAAGGCTGAGGTAGATGTTCTTCAGGAAACTAGTGGGGGAGGTACCTCAAGAGGTCACACGTCTTAGGGCAGCCTGCAGAGGTTTTTTCAGGAAGGTGGTGTTTAACTCAATTGCAGAAGCCAGGTAGACTTTGTGGGCCTCTGTAATCTTGGAGGCAAGAAAAGAGGCAGTTCATGGTTAAATCCATCCTTCCCCTCCCCACCTCCCATACTAGATATCCCGGATTCACAGGGACAGGAGGAAGACAGGCTTGGGTCAGGGAAAAGAAGACTGAGAAGGCATCCCTGAGTAACCCAACTTCATTCTCACCAAAAGCAGGAAAATGAGGCATGGCCAGGTTTACCCAACTGCCCAAACAGTAGGAGTTCCTGAGTCAAAACTCCCCTCCTGCCCTCCAACCCAACCAGAAACCTCACCTGATCCTGGTACTTTGTCACAACCGTCAGGACCAGCTTGGCATAGTCCACAGAATCAGCAGCAGCCAGGCCTTCACGAGACAGCTTTTGCACTAAGACACTGAAGTTCTCTGGGGACAGGTCCACCTGTGTTTGGGAAGGCAGAGAGAGGAGGGCATGGGGGAGGCTACAATGGCGGAGGTGGGGCACTTTCTGATGACACATCCCCTTCCTCTAGGCGCAGTTAAAAGGACAGATTTAGGGTTAGACAACCTGAGTTAGAATTCTGGTTTTATTAAGTGAATGACCTTGGATTATTTACTTCACCCCTGAGCCTCAGTTTCCTCATCAACGAGAGTGACAACACTTGCATCATCTATCTCACGAGGTTATTGTGAAGATCAGGTCAGACAAACGGATGGCAAGCACTTTTTAAATGAAAAGCACCACATAAATATGGACCATTATTACTGCTGTCAGTCAACCAGACCTTGGGGAGAAGCTATGCCCTGGATCAGTGGGAAGAAAACAACCCCAGCCACAACTAAAACAGAAGCCCAGAGCAAGAACTGTACTCAGAGCTCACCAGGGGCTAGAAAGAAAACCTGGAAGCACCATGCCAGGGAAGAAAGAAGGCCTTTCCGAGTTCTCCCCAACTTCTAGTGCCTCCCCCCTAAATTACCTTCTATCTACTACTATGCATATCATGTAAGTACGCAGTTACTTACGTGTTGCCTCCCTCGTTAGAATTTGAGCTCCCTGAAGGCAGGGATGTATTTTTGTCTTTCTATGACACTATGGAAAATGGGAGTAATTAATACCAGCACATACCTCCCAGGGCTGTTATGAGGATCAAGTGGGAAAATAATTGTAAAGCCCTTAGCACAGTACCTGGCATGTTAGTAGGTTTTCTATAGACACATGTTCCTTTTCCCTCTATAGTCCTAGCACTTGGCATAATGCCTACCTAGCACATAGTAAGCTCTTCATAGATGTTTGTTGACCGACTATTCCTGACTCCCCGGCAGGCAGCGCGGTATACTAGAAAGACTTCAGGATTTAGAGTAGAGGGCCTGGGACAAATCCCAGTTTGGTCACTCATGACCTATGTAAGTCATCTGATCTCTCTGGTTCTCAATTTCTTCCTCTGTAAAACGAGGGGGTTGGGCTAAATCATCTCCAAGTCCTCTTCGAGCACTAAGTCTACGTAACCTAAGATCACTGATGGTCTGGAACCTTTACCTGCCGCCCTAGAAGGGACTGCATCACTGTGAAGGTCTCTTCTCTCCAGGGCAACTCCAAGATCTGTCTGCAGAGGAGAGATCCGAGGTAAGGGGGAGGGGAAGGAAGAGAGGGAACAACTCTTCTCCCCACCTCCTGGCCTGCCACATTCTTCCCACCCACCAAAAGCAGGATCTCAGGGGCAGGAGGAAGTGGGAAATGAACGGGAAGCAGCAAGAAAAGCCCTTCCGCCATCAGTCAGCAGGTCAAGAATTTGTATTGAGTGACCCTGCTGCAAACTCCTGAACTCGGGCACATTCCTGCTCTCAAGGAACTTAGACCCCAGCTGACTACACACATAGTGGAAGAGAAAGCCCATGGGACCTGGCATCAGGAGACGGGGCTTCTAACCTGACCTGTGCTACTTAATGGCCCATGTGACCCTGGGTCATTCATTCCTCTGGGCTTCAATTTTTTCATCTGTAAAATGATGGGGTTGGCCTGGATGAGGTTGCAGCTCTGTATTCTAGGAGCCTGGGACCAATGTAGAGCTGTGTACCTTCCCTGTGTCCCCAGAAGTGCCTGCATCTCTGTGAGAGTCTCCCAAGTTTTACAGGATTACTGACAAAAACCTAAAAATGGTTCTATGTGGAAGCTGCAGAATGTGAGTAGTAAAAATGCCGAGGACACAGAATGTGGGACAAAGAGTCAGGAAGGGGAACCGAGGGGGCAAAATTAATCATAAAAGACTTCCTGCTGAAAATGACCCCACCCTCATGATACCAATGGAAATCAATCTTCAACAAGCACCTTCATTTTGCTTGGATACAGATTTTGAGGGCTGAGTAGCTACCATTACGCTGTCTACTGAAAAGTAAGAGTTCTAGGCCTTTTAAAATTTGTTTGTAAAAGGATGCACAGAAGGACATTGTGTGTACTCCAGGAAAACCAACAGGGAATTGTGCTTAGAAATATATTTGCACATTATTGGACTCCTCATATTGGAGGCTGACATTTATATGTTCAGTGTTCACTGACAGATGTGCTATCTATGAGAAATTGCATTTGGTAAAAAAGAATTCAAAATACTACATAAGACAAATGAAAAACAGCAATGTACATTATTCAATAAGTAAAGTAGGAAGCAAAAAAAAAACCCCTAATCCCTTCTGCATTTGCAATCAGTATTGTACAATGTACAGCGTATCTTATCTCTACTCTAAATGCCATTCTGTACAATTTAGCACTCATAATATCAGTTTACAGCGCTGTCATATTTAATGATACCTCGTTCTCTAATTTTTCACTTATGGACACATATTATCTCTCAAACTAGACAGTAAGCCCCTCTGAGAACAGAGGTGACATCTTCTGCTTCCCCTTTTCATCCCCTTCCAATAGGACCTAGCATGGGACTGTGTGCAGGGGCTGTGCTCGATGAATGCATGACTGACAGAGCCAGGTTCTGAAGGGGACACTAATGATTTGAGCTGGACAGCAGAAATGTGCAGAAACCCAAAGTCAGTGACAACCACATCACATCTAGGAAACAGGAAATAAGATCGGTTGGTCTGCAGTGCCTAGCAAGAGCAGGGGATCTGGGGTTAAAGGTCCTGTTTGAATCCTGGCTCAGTTCCTACCTGAGACGTTTTTGGCCAATCCCATCACTTCCCTGGGCCTTGGTTTCCTTATCTCATAATGAGAGTGTTGGAATAGAAAAACCCAGTTCTAGATGCGCTGCTGACACTGTCCCAGGGTCCTGAGTGCTGCCTGCTCTCAGGTGAGGAGAGACAGGAAGAAAGCATGCTTACTTTAACACCAGCACCAGCAAGCCCAGCTCCAGAGCATCCCCCTCCAGCAGGTAACAAAGAAGCTCTGTCTGTGTGGGGCCTGGGGTGGAGGAAGAAACAGGGGATTCGGACCTTGCTGACGACGCGGGACTGAGAAGAGGATCCCTGAGCAGGCCATGACAAAAGGGGGGGGAAGGGTAGGAGACATGAACATTGGGGCTTCATCAGTGAAGCAAATGGGGCTTGCTGACCCACTAATCTTCTACCCCTACCAACCCTCTTCTTGAATCAGAGATAGCTCATGGGCCAGATCTAGAGTGAAAGGATACAGAAGACGGGTCGGTCTGCCAGGGCTTAGGGTTCTATTTGTGCACAAGGATGGAGTTTACTCTGAGGAGGGTTGATCTACCTGAGACCGTGGCCTGTAATGCTGGAATCACGAGGCCTCTGCAGACAGGGTGAGGATATCTGGCACCGAATGCAGTTATGGCAGCTCTCAACAGACGAGAGGCTGAAGATGTCAGGGAAAGAACCTGGGAGGAAATAGAGACATGGGAAGAAATAAGATGGCGTATATTTGTAGAAACTCCATGTACATCACCTATCTTTAAGTTCTTTTGATGAGGGGAAGGTGGCTGTCGAAGGACCCAAGCTAGGGCATAGGACTGTGGAAACAGGAAGCCAGGGGACATTGCCCAGGAAGCAAGACAAACAAAACTATCCATCTCAATTAGGTAGGAGAGAAGCAGTGATACCAGTCATCACCTCCCACTATGTGCCAAATCTCTCCCTGCAAAGCCCCAAATTTCTCCCAATTCTCTAAGTCTCCAGCACATACCTGCTCAAGAAAAAGGTTCCTCACAAGTATGGTGGCACTGCTACAGCTGAGGTCCGGCGAGAGTGCCAGAAGCCGGTTGCAGAACTGCAGGAGGGCCGTGTCCGAGAGCCGGGAGAGCCGCAGCTGTGCACAAAGGTTCTCCAGCTGGGATGGAGGGCAGGTGGTGGGCAGACAGTGATTAGGTAGGAGATCAGCACAAGGTGCAGGTACAACCTCAACTGAGCATCCCATAAGGCAACACTGAGAGAACCACCCACTCCCACTGAGTGAATCAGAAGCAGAGGACCAAGGAGTAACTCTGAGTGCCTTCCAGTCTTCCCACGACAGACGAGGAAACTGAGGTCTGGAAAGAGGCAGAGTCACCAGAGGAGAGAGGGAGACAGGCAAGACTTGGATCTCAAGGCTCTCCTCACCTGGTTGGGGCTGCACTCGTGGAGAAACTGCAGCTCAAGGGGTGGCATTCCCTCTAGGCCCTAGGGGAAGAGGAATTACAGAATCATAGAACGCTAGTGCAGAAGAGATCTTAAAAATAATTTATCCAAATCTCTCATTTGACAGAGGAGGAGACAGTCAGAGGGGAAGCGGCTTGCCCGGTCACAAAGCCAGTTAATGGTGACAGTCCCAATTCTCCTTGATTCAGGGCTCTTTCTCTTCAAGAGAATTTTATACTTCTTATAATTACCTGTGTCTCCTGGGACTTCATGCCCTTGCCTAATTTGATGTGTAGGTTCAGGAGTCCAATGGCCATGAGAGCAAAGGGATGGGGAAGGTATCAAACACTCACCTCCCATTCAGTTTCCAGCAGCTCGAGCACTTGGGGCACCTGGTTCTGAGGAAGAGAGGACAGTCATAGCTGAGTCTCATCTGTTTCCACTCCCCTTCCTTGGGTACCCCCCACCCCAGACTGTCTTTCTTCTACCGATTATTGAACATACACCCTTGGGAGAGGCCTTGGACCAGTGAGAACAGGGAAAAAGAACAATCACAAGAGAACAAATCAAGAAACAACGACCTTTTGAGAGAGGTCGTGACATTTCAACTTGAAGACTGTAAGAAAACATCTCACAGTCTATGAAGTCAAGGATGTGCAAATGGGTCTATGCTTCTCCTATCTCGCGTACCTGAATGTGGTACCAGGGAGGTATCTTGTGGAAACCCTTGACCCCCCAGGCTTTTGTAATGGAGAGCAGAACTGGATGATGCCCTGAGTAGGTATCAGCACACACCCGTGAGAGACGGTGGAGGCAGAACTCATTTTAGAGTCACACGAGTTGGGATCAGATCCTAGCTCTGCTAGCACTTATGACTTCATGTAGGTCACTTAATCACTCAGGGCCTCAGTGTCTTTGTGGGTAAAAATGAGAAGTTTGGCCTAGATGACCTCTGACAACCCTAGCACTAGATCTGCAGTCCCAGGTATCTCTAGAGACTCTCATTTCTCCTGGCCTTCTCTAACCCATAACTCGCCCATCCCTGACTCCTTACTCCAGTCAGCATCTGAAGCCCCAAGCCCAGCACCTTGATGCCTCTGGGTAACTCCAGAACCTCAGCCAGCTTCTCCCGCCGCCCGTCATTGGCCCTGCTGCTGGCTGCTTCCACAACGGGCTGGTCAGGGCTGCCCCCACACACGGTTGGTTCCTGTTCATCTGTGGCGGTCTCCTGGAGCTGTTGCCGCTCCTCTTCTTTCTCTCCTTTCCCTTCCAGGGATCGAAGTCTCTTAGGAAGCGCTTCTCTCTCAGAGCCCTCAGGCTCCGCTTCAGGCTCCTTCCTGCGTTTGCCAGGACGCTGAGTGCCCATGTCCTCAGTCTCCTTGAGGTCCAGGGGACAGCTTAGCCTCAATCCTCTGCCCACACGTCCACAAAGGCTCCGGAGCCGTTCCCGGCACCCTTGTGTCAGCGGGGAGGCCTCCTTGATCTCCTCATCTGTAGTCAGCTCCCTCTGGAGCAATTCCCCCAAAGCCCAAAGCCAGCCATCCTGGGTAGGGTCACGCTTGGCTGCCTGGAGTACAAGGAGAAGTCCACTCCTGGGAAGCTCAGTATGTACGGCTAACAGTAAGGACAAGAGGTTCCTTTGGCACAGCTGGGGCAACTGCAGCAGCAGCGGCTTCCTAGGCAGCAGAGGGAAGAGGAAGAGGTGAAGGCACCACACTGAGCAAGGGATCACAACAGGGGGCAGATGGTGGCAGGAGTGCAAGGAAACCAGGGGGCTGAGGTGCCCGAGGAGCAGAACCTGCAGAAATCACTATACACGGAGGGAAGAGGGATGAGATTCATTCAACAAAGATTTATTGAACGTCCATTGTGTTCAGGTACCAAGAGGGATAGAAAGAACTCTGATCAGTGTCCCTGCCCTTTCCCCCCAAGGAGTCTGGAGAGTATGCACACATTGTTCTAACACAGTTAATAAGCTGTCCCACTTACAAATAGGTTGTGCTCTTAAAAGTCTGTTGAATGTTGGTTATCTGGAGCTCAGAACACATATTCCTAAAGAATTACCAATCATAAAGCATTATAAATGGTAGATTCCTTGGTTCACCCACAGAAAAGGACCACAGGGGAGTAGAACTACATACAGGAGAAGCCTGGATTCTGAGTTCTGGGCGCAGAGGGCCAAGTTAGGCAAGAGAAAGAGGACCACGAGACTTTCCTGCCCCTTGACAGGGTTAGACGGATTAGCCCTATGTGAGTCACACATTTATTAAGCACATGCTAGCGCCAGGCACTATTCTAGGTGCTAATACAAAATACAAGCACAAAGAATGAAACAGTCCACTCTGGCAAGGTACTTCCACCCTACTGGGGGAGACAAGCCCATCCATATCTACAGTGTAAATACAAAGTGAATAAATCCAAGATCTTTGGCCTTCCTCCATTTCCTTCTGCAGCCCTCCCAGCTCCAAGGCTCGCCCTTCTACTCTTTATCTCATTCAGGTGTACCAACCTCCCCCTCCCAAAGCACTGGATGGCATGATTATTCTATTTCCCTTCCTATCGAAATCTAGTGTCAGAAACTAGTTGTGTGACCCCTGAGCAAGTCATTTAACTTGTCTGTCTCAGTTTCCTCAATTATAAAATGGGAATAATAGAACCTACCTATAAGGGGCGTTGTGAGGACTAAATGAGGTATTCACAAAATGCTTAGCACAATATCTGGCACAGGGTCTCCAGACCACATGTGGCCTTCTAGGTCCTCAAGTGCGGCCTTCTGAGTCCAAGTTTTACAGAACAAATCCTTGTAGTAAGAGGATCTGTTCTCCTAAGTTTGGATTCAGTCAAAGGGCCACACTTGAGGACCTGGAGGGCCGCATGCACCCTCAAGGCTGCAGGTTCCCCACCCCTGATCTGGCACATAGTTGTTGTTTGTCCTTCATTTTAAGAAAAGGACCAATCACAATCACACCATGGGGCGATGTCTTGACTTGCCCATGAATTGAATTTAAATGAGGCATAGTTGCACAAAGTAGTCAGCCTTACTCTCTGTTTCCCAGTCATCAATGCCCAGTGGCAAGACAAAAGTCAGGAAGATTGGATAGCCCCAGATGCAGCAGATAACCTCGGTGTCTCTGATGTCTGACCAGGCTGTAAGCATGCCACGGTGTCTGCTTCAGCTGCTTTCAAAGCTGTTGGAACAAATTGTTCTCATCTACTCACTCCTCCAGGGGAAGTCTTCACATGCTTGGGGCAGACACCCGCCTAACTCACCTATGGGTGTGTGGCCCATTGGTTACCTTCAATCTGATAAAGACTATGTGATAAGATGGTTTTACCAGGGTGTGGTCAATGCTCATGCTACAGCTTCTTCTTTTTTTTCTGGTTAGGCAATGGGGTTAAGTGACTTGCCCAGGGTCACACAGCTAGTAAGTGTTATGTGTCTGAGGCCAGATTTGAACTCAGGTCCTCCTGAATCCAAGGCTGGTGCTCTATCCACTGCGCCACCTAGCTGCCCCTATGCTACAGCTTCGCGAAGCCACAGGTGAGAGTCGAGTGCCACAGGGGCACCAAAGGGAGATGAGCAGCCCTGAAAAGCACTCAGCAAGCCCTCACGCGAGAGGTCTTCCTTCAACATTCATACATATACCCTGCCTCCGCCTCTGAGTTGTGCTGATATGAAGAGGAAAGCAATCTGATTGAAACTTTTTTTTTGGTGAGACAATCAGGGTTAAGTAACACAGCTTGTAAGTATCAAGTGTCTGAGGCCAAATTTGAAATGGGGTCCTCCTGACTCCAAGGCTGGAGCTTTATCCACTGCGCCACCTAGTTGCCTCAATTGAAACTTATTAACATTAACATATAAGCGACCAAGAGCTCTTATAAGTTTGCATTTTTTTTTTTCCACTTTCACCCCTGTCTCCTCGTGTACATTTACAAAGAAGTCTTTTTCTGGTCCTTGGATTGTCACTCTCTTGATGTTGGTGTCTTTGCCGGCTGTATTCACTCTTCCTACATTTCTGTTGTTTGGGGTGCTTGAGAAGCAAATAGCTCTGGTTTTCTTTCTCAAAACATTTCACATTCTTCCTTATTACTGAATTCCATCTTTTGTCCTTTAGGGTTAGGCTCACATTTGCAACACAGGTCACCCTGGGCTGCATTCTGAGCTCCACTGCTCTTCAAAACACATTATTCCATTCCCTCCTTTTTTCTAGTGAGTACAAAATAGTCTTGCATTATTTGAATGTCCTTTCCTTTGTATATGAAGGTCTTTCTCCTGATGGCTTGTTTCCGAAATGAACTGTCAAATTTAACCACTATGTGTCTTAGAGTTTGCAGCCTTAGTTTTTTTTACTGAAGGTCATCTATAAAATCTATAATGGAAATTTCATTTTCTATGTTCAGAAGTTCTGGGCAGTTCTGTTCTAATACTTCCTCTGTTATGGTGTTAAGATGCTTTGTTCTGATGTGTTCTTCTGGAATACCTATGATCCTTAGATTGTCTCTATCTCATTCAGGATCAATATAATTTGCTTGTATAGTAAGCATATTTTCTTTTAATGTTCTTGTTTTTAGTTTCCCTTCTTGTAGATTGTCCTTTACTTCTGTGGGTGTGCATTCTCAATCTATTGTCCTTTCTTTTGTTTCTTTGGTGAGGCTTGTCATTGCAGATTCAAGTTTTTCTATTCTTATTTTTGCTCAGGACATAAATTCTGCTCTCATAATTCTCTTTTCTCTTTTAAACCACTCAGGCACAGTGTGTCGTGACTCCATGTTCCCCTTAAATTCCACAGGGTCTTCTGTCTCATCTAGTGTTAGATCATTTTCCTTTATTTTGCAGTATTTATTCATTAATGTCTGAACTTATTTTACTAGATCTGGAGGTCAAATTTCCCTCTGTTGTTACTATTTTTCCTGTTGATTTATCTGTTTATATTCGGGATCTTTGAGAATTTTTTTTCTTGAAATCTTTGCTACTTTAATCTCCCCCCATTCCCCCTCCGACATTTTCCTTATTACTCACTTCCCAACTCCTTCCCCTCTGATTGTGGCTTCCTTGGAGGCAGGATCTCAGAGTCTCAGCCTCCTTCCACACTGGGCAATTCACAGCTTAGTTCTCTGCCCCAATAGACTTTTGAGAAGTCAGAATTGGTCCCTGCTGGGTGCTATGCTCTTTCCTTCAGGCTTGGTGGAGTGTTACACAGTCCCCCACACAGTGTTTCGTGTTGGTGATCTGTCCCACTCCCTCTATTCTTCAGTTCTTTGGCCTAGTACCAGCAGTTTGAGTCTGTTTACCTGATAGAGCAGTTTAGCACTTTGCAGCACTGGTGCTTCTGGGCTGTAGCCCCCAGCAGGCTTTTGTTCCTGAAGGGTTATGGCCAAGCTAGCTATCAAGGCCTGAACAAACTTCTGGAGCCTGAAGCCAGGGTTTCCACGGCTTTCAAAAGTGGGAGAGGAGACTGAGGTGTAGGAGTGGGTTTTGATGTAAGCCTGAGTCCTGTCTTTGGGTCTGCTGGTAGAGCTTCACTGCCAGTACTGTGGGAGGTGGGGAAGGGGTATTGAGTGAGCTCAGGGTCAGTAAGTGTCAGTTCTTGGGTTTGGGGAATTTTTTTAAACCTTCTTTTAGAATCTGGATGTCCTAGACCATGGAAACAACTGAAAATGTTTTATCTGTAGCACATAAATTCTGTTTTAGATAAGAGGCTGTGGGGATTGGAGAAAATGTCTAGTCCATTATCTTGTTGCTCACACGACCCAGAATTCAAGAGTTGGCATTTTTCAAACATTTAATCCTAAATGACAGGATTTCTCTTAGCCATAATAGAATGAAGTGAAAAGTTCAAGTAGTATGGTGAAAGATTTTTAAGTATCTAGATATGCTGCTCCATGAGTCCTTCCCTTCCACTTAAGTCCCCTATGTGCTTCTGTATGTTTACATCTCCTTTCAGTGTGTCTTTCCCCATTAACTCCTTGAGGTCATGACTGGCTTTCTTTTTCTTATCCCCAGCTTAGCCCAGTGTCTGGCATGTAGTAAGCAATTAATAAATGTGTATTGTATTGTATTCTCCTCTTCCAACAGTCCTGGACCTATAGATTCTCCAAAAGCTCCAATTTTTTTTTTCCTCTCCTTAGGAATGAACATTAGGAACTGCCTGTTTCACTGAGTTGTTCAGTCAACTAGCATTTATTATTAAGCTCCTACTGTGTGCCAGACACTGGGCTTAATGCTGAGGATACAAAGAAAGGCAAAAGACAGCCCTTGCTTTCAAGGAGCTCATAGTCTAATGGGAGAGATGATGTGTAAACAATTGGGTTTTCTTGCCAAATATACTGGGGTGATACGAACTCAGGAAGTTGAGTCTTCCTGACTCCATGCCCTAGGACACTATCCACTGCACCACCTAACTGCCCCATAAACAATTATGTACACATGTAAATTTGCACAATGGAAACAAATAAACAACAAATAAATTTTAGTTGTTTAATTATTTTTCAGTTGTGTCCCAACTCTTTGTGATCTCATTTGGGATTTTCTTGGCAAAGACACTGGTTTGCCATTTCCTTCTCCAGCTCATTTTACAGATGAGGAAACTGAGGCAAACAGGGTTAAGTGATTTGCCCAGAGTCACATAGATGGTAAGTGTCTGAGGCCAGATCTGAACTCATGAACTTATGGTGTCTTCCTGACACCAGGCCTGTCACTCTATCCACTGTGTCATCTAGCTGCCCTGGTTAGAGATTAGTGAAAATAAAGATGCAATTTTTTATTTCTTATCCAAGTTCATAGAGCCCCTGAAATCTATTTATAGTCTCATGCATGCCAGAACTTCTAGTTTAGAGAATGCTTTGTACTCTTTTTCCTCTGATATTGTGTCATGCTTATCTATGAACATGTCCTAACTTCTTAAGGATAGGGGCAGTCCTATAGTCTTTGTATCCCAAATCTTTAGTACAGAGATTTGTATATTAGAGGTGCTTAATTAATAAGCAGGCATACCCTTGGGCTTTTTTCCAGGACCTTTTCTTTTCCAACTTTATGCTCAATCTTCTCTGGAGAGTTTATCAGCTTCCTTGGATTCAATGATCACCTCTAAGAAGTTGGATGTAAGACTGATCCCAGCGTCACTAACTGCTAGGCATCTCCACATGAATATCCAACAGGCACCTCAAATTCAACATGTGAAAAATAGGACTCACTATCTTCTCCCTTTCCCACCCCTCTTCACTGTATTATATGACAACAGATTTGGATCTGGAAAGGAATTCTGACATCATTTAGTCCAACCCCTCTCTTTTACAGATGAGGAAACTGAGGTCCAGAGAAGTTTAATGACTTGCCCAAGTTCACATAGATAGGAAGTGGCCGAGTCAGAATTTGAATCCAGGCCCTCTGACTCCAAATCTAGATCTCTTTGCACTATATCAAATAAATGAAACATCACCAAGAATCCAATACTTACCTATTTCTGTCACAGATACCATTATCTATATAATTGCCTAGATTTGAAATCTCAAAATCACCTTCTATATCCAATTAGTTGCTAAATACTGTTGATTTTAATCTATCATATCCCTCATATCCAAACTCTTCTCTCTACTCACACAGCTACGACTCTGGCTCAAGCCCTCATCACATTTAGCTAGGACTATTGTTTGTTAACAGCCTCCTAATTGGTCTCTCCCCATTTCCCAATCCATCTTCTACCCAGCTGAAGGTACACACACCGCTGCTTTAAAAAGTTTCACTGACTCTAGAATAAAACACAAACTTCTCTGTTTGACATTTAAGCCCTTCACAATCTGAATCCAATGCATCTTTAACAACTGATTTCACATTATCCTCCTTCACACACTCCATCTTCCAACTGATCTGCTTCTCATTTCCCCTATAGAATATTCCATCTCTAATCTCCACGGTTTTCCCCTATTCCTGGAATGCTCTCCCTCTTTATCTCTACCTCTTAGAATCCCTGGCTCCCTACAAGAGTCAGCTCAAGTGGAAGACGTTCTTGGTCCCACCACCCCAAAATTACTTTGTATGCATTTTGCATGACTTATTGGAATATGTTGTTTCCATATAGTAGAATGCATGCTCCTTGAGGTTGGGGCTATTCCATCTTTGCAATCTGAGCAGCCCCTACCACAGCACCTAAAAAATGCTTGTTAAATTGAATTGAATTTGTTGAAAACACACAATGATGTTCATCTGGAGATTACTTCTGGACAAAGTCTTGAAGGCAGGGGCTGTTTTTACCTTTCTTTGTATACATCTCCAGCTTTTAGCACAATGCCTTGCATACAGTGAGCATTTAATAAATGTTTGTTATTGATTAGGGAAGGCATCAGGGAAAGAGTGCAAGCTGAGCTGGGCCCGGGGCGATCTGGGTAAGATAACTGCAAATTTCATTTCTAGATGTTTTAAGTTTGCAAAGAACTTCTGCACACACCCCTCCCCTCCACGGGAGAGGGGAGGGTTAAGTATCAGCCCCCTCCCCCACTTGACAGACGAAGACGACGCCCGACTGGGCACCCCCCGGTCGGGGCAGGAGCAGGGGGCCGCCCTACTTACAGCTCCAGGCGGCGGTCGGGCCCCTCGAGCACGGGCTCCTCTCGGCTCAGCGCCTCCAGGAAGGGGCCCCAGCAGAAGGGCCGCTCGGAGCCCCCGGCCCGGAGCCTCTGCAGGGCCCTGAGAGCCCCCAATACTCCTCCAGGTCCGGACTGCAGCAGCTGCAGCAGGAGCAGGGCGGGGGGCTCCAGCCGGGCCCCCAACCGCGCCGCCCACCCCTCCGCCGGCGGACCGGGGTCAGCCCCCGGCCAGGCTGGCCGCCCAGGGGGCCGAGAGGCCATGGAGCTCGAGAAAAATGCTCGATCTCCAGGATCAGCGTAACCCTGAGGTCAGGGGTCAAGGGTCAGCACCTCCCTCTTCTCTGGTCACGAGGCTCCGAAGCTGCTCGAGCGGGAAGCCGGCTTTACCGGCCTCAGGGCATTGGGGAGGAGGAGGGGGGAGTGCCAATCTCAAATCATTTCCGCCCTCCCCCGCCCGCCATCTCCAATTGACGCAGGAAGGGGCGGGACTCGAAGCGAGTGGGGTGGGGCTGTTACGCATGCGTAGCTCTTAGGCCGGGGCGGTGAGACGAGATCTGGGCAAGAGGGCGGGGCCTACAGGTAAGTCGAAACTCGCGACCAGTAGGCTAAGCACGGGAGAAAGGGGCGGGGTCCTGGGGAAGATCAGAGGTCCAGGGGCGGAGCCAGCAGCCCAGGGGGCGGAACCAGCGCTAGGTGGGAGTGGGTAGGGGGCGGGGCCCCGCGGCTCCCGCGCGCACAATCCGCCCAGTGGCGGAGCCTAGTTAGAGGCGGGGCTTTGTCTTCTCGTCCACCAGAGAGGAGACGTAATGAGAAGCAAGACTAGGTTTAGGTTGAGGCTGGCAGAAGATTCTCAAAGAACGGATTTTCAGAGATCAGAATTTTACAGGTGGAATAGCTATGGGTGACGATGAAATCTAATGTATGCTCCCCATACACAGACTTAGGGCTAGGAGGGACCATTCCATTCCAACCCCTTCATTTTACAGATAAGGAAACTGAGGCACAGAGCAGTTTAAGTTACTAAATGTCAGGCAGGATTTGAACCTAGGGCCTCCTGACACTTTAGTCCAGCTCTCTTCTCACTACAACGTCATGATGGACCAAAGTCATGGTCATGGACTTTGAAGAGGTTGATGAACTAGGCTAAAGTGTTTCAGGTCATATCGTGTGTGTGTGTGTGTGTGTGTGTGTGTGTGTGTGTGTGTGTGTGTGTGTGTGGTCCCCAAATTAGGGGTTGGAGGAGAAAGGATGACCAGGGATCCAGTGTAATCAAGAGTCAGGTCTTTAAAAATCCAAGGTGGAAGAGTGAAAAGAAAGGTTCAAGGATGAAGAGAATTGTGTGGATGATAAAGCCAGGATAGTCTCAGTGGAAAGAGGGACTAGAGAGGAAAGTAACCAAGGTGGGATAAGCCCATGGAGATGAGAACACAGGGAGAGATGACAGCTGGCTCAATCTCAGGGCTTGGGTGGGCAACTGATATGATTTTACTAGTCACAGGTCTAGGGAAAATGTCATTTGGCTGAGGCCTTTATCCTGCAAGGTCTTGTGAGGAGAGGGGGGAAGGCTTACTGTGCCATCTTTGTAGCTATATCCCAGGATGACAGAAAATGAGACACCCACAAGTACCTGGGTGTAGTACATGTAGTATGTGTACTAGGCTGGTCCTCAGGCCCAATGGCTGAAGCTTGGTCTGTCTGATAACCAGGCATGGTATGAGAAGTTCCAGGCAGGGTGATACTAGGCCTTTGAGGGCCCATCCAGTAGTTCTATCTGAAGGTTTAGAAGAATCGCTAGAACGAAAGTCCCACAAGGGCTAGGTTTGTGACTCCCTTTAACTCTGTATCTGTGCTTCTGATACAGATTTCTTCATGTTGTTGTTCAGTCGTGTCCTGCTCTTTGTGACTTTATTTGGGTGGTTTTCTTGGCAAAGATACCAGAGTGGTTTGCTATTTCCTTCTCCAGCTCATTTTAAAGATGAGGAAACTGTGGCAAAGCTGGAGAAGGAAATGGCAAAGGTAGACACTCCTCACTTAATACTACAGACTTTTTTTTGGAAGAGTTTTGTGGAAGTCACACCCTATTAAGTGAGCTAGGAGAGTTTTCAAAAGAAAGGAATTAAGACTTTTTTAGAATCATGCCCTAATTGATTCATCTGAAGAGTGAGGATTGTCCCAGTGGCTGTAATCAGGTTTGCTTGAAGGGAAGGGTATCCTAATCATTCACTCAGGAAACATTTATTTTTAGGCTTCATGCTAGAGCCCCAGAGGTAAGGGTTAGGAATAAACAGTACTCTGAGAAGAGCACCAGTTTAGGGATTTAGAACTGGGTTCTGCCACTCATTAGCAAACAGACCCTGAGCAAATCACTTATAACCTCTCTTACCTTGAAATGAGTGTCCTTGGTTGTAAAATGAGGCTAAGACTTTTACTATCTGCTGCATATGCCTTCTAAGATCTAATGAATACAATGCTATTGATTGCCTATCTGGAGGCTTTGTATCTAGTAGGTGTTTGAGACACTTATTCATGGTTGCTGGTCTCAGAGACTTCACCCTGTCTTCCTGCCTTTCATGTCTGAATATACCTTGATGTACAACAGGAGCTGGAAAAGCCCGATGTGTTACTGGCTAACGCATGATGGCCAAGCTTAGTTGACAGCAAAAAGAAGTCCCATTGTCAATTCTTGAGAAAGGTTAGGGTCAGTTGTCCTCCCTTTCTGGTGAATTAGCTTCTGCTATCTAAGCACTATGTAAATGTAAGATTATAGTGATAGAAAGACTTGAATATAAATTGTCTCACTGATAGTCACAATAAGCAGAAGTAGTTAAAAGTGGTTCAGATAACATTCCCATTTCTCCGATGGACTCTTTGGTCTCTGAAGGTAACTGATTGATCCAAGGTCATACAGTGTCAGAACCAGAATGCAGACCCAGAGGTCTTCCTCCTGACTCCCCCAGTTCCTTGCTCATTTCACTAGACCTCACAGTGCCTTTTCTTTTTCTTTCTTTCAAGGCAATCAGGGTTAAGTGACTTGTCTAGGGTGTCTGAGGCCCGGATGTGAACTCAGGTTCTCCCGACTCCAAAGCCAGTGCTCTATCCACCGAGCAACCTAGCTGCCCCCACAGTGCCTTTCCTAAGGACACATCTTATAGAGGAGGGAGTGGAGGGAAGCAATCTGAGGAAAACCAAGGATGAGGTGCCACCTAGTGGAGAGGTAGCTAAGGACACAAATACATACAAGATCTGACATTTGTTGAAGTCTGGCACTGTTATCTCATGAGCCAGCTAAGTTAAACAGATGACAGACATCAGCTCTAGTGATTTAAACTAGTTTAATTTGTTTCAGAATCATCATATAAAAAAGTTAAAAACTAAGGCCCAAGGAGAACAGAAGGGGATGGGGACCTTCCTCATGGCCCAAGATCTAGCCATTCATTTCTCCTGCACTGTCCTGACTCCAGACATGCCATTAGCACAGACCATAGAGTAGATGGCTTCTTTCCATATGAACAATTACTTATAGTGGTCCTCTGCCTCTGCAGAGCTTTACTAGAGACAGCCTCTGCTTTACAATTTCTACATCTCTACATCAGAATCACTGTATTTGGAATAGGTTATTTTCTTCCTTGTTATGGATAAGCTGATGGTATGGTCAAGGAAATAGATTTCTTCATCTTCATCATCTGAGTTGTCTGATGGTTCACTGGGAGTCAGAACCTGGGGGAGGAGACTGAACTGAGTTGACCCAGACATCCCATTATTACCAATCCAGTGTCCACTCTACAAATCCCTTTTCCCCAACCCAGACTACTCACAGAATCCCTGTTCTTTGGCCAGTACTCCGGGAACTGGTGCTGGTAGATGCAGTCAGACTGGAAAGGACAGCGGCCTTTTCTTTGCATGAAAAATTTACAATGGATCTGGCTGGGAGAGCATGAGGACAGAGAGGGGTACAAAAGAAAGGAGCATTAGTCTCAACCCCAATAGCCCCTGTGAAAACAAGTTTAAAAAAAATCCTGTTCCATTTTTCCTAGGCTAAAATTGGTTCTACAATTTTGGTCTTGGGATCATAGAATTCAGAACCAAAAAAGGACGTTTAAAGATATAATCAAAACCTCATTTTATAGAGGACATTAAAGATCAGTGGAAGCAAGTGACTTACTTTCCCAAGTCTGTCTTGGTAGAGCCAAAGTTCAAATTCAGGACTTCATATTCCTGATTCAGCCTCTTTCCCCTACACTGTAGCCCTGTAGCTTGGAGCTCTTAAGTCCCAGTGTCATTGAGTCAATCTTGAAATAAAAGTTTTAAAACAATCTCTCAGCTTTGACTGAAAGGTAGACTTTCTGTGTGTATATGTGTGTGTGTGTGTGTGTGTGTGTGTGTGTGAGAGTGAGTGAGACTGTGTGCCAGAGTGTTGTGTGAGTGTTATGTGAATGTTGAGGGAGAAAGAGAGATACCCTACACATACCCCTCAAAGATGCGTGGGGAACTTAGGTTAAGTGAAAGATGACTGGGGTAGTGAAGGGGCCAGCCCAGGGAGGCTGCATGATGAAAAGATGGCATTTGAGCTGAACCCTGGAGGGGAGTTGAACATGTGGGGGGCACAGAAGGTGCGCAGGGTAAAAATAATCAGTCACTGTAAACAGGCTGAGTAAAGGCTCCAAGGTGAACGAGAACTTGGTATACTTACAGAACAATAAGCAGACCTGTTCTCTAGGAAGCCAGACATGGAAGCAGCATCAGATGAGGTAAGAATAAAAAGTTGAGAGCCAACAACCGGAAAGTTGTTAGCTCTTGGGGCAGGGATCAGTAAAGGCCAATTTTTCATCATCTTTGTATCACTGATCACTTGGCATCTTTGTAACACGTAGAGTACAGGGGTGCCTCATTCTGGGGTCTGAGCTGGTAGATATCATGGAACCAGCGAGGGGCTTCTGATGTGGGGTGGGGAGGATGTGTCAGAACTGGGCTTTCTCTAGGAGCGTTAACCTGGCAGCAGGCAGTGAGATGGCAAAAGGCCATTACAACGGCCCAGGTAATGAAGCTGGAATGAGGGTGGAGCAGTTGGAGAAGAGGACAGAAATGAAAGGGGTCACAGAGGTAGAAATGATAGGATTTAGCAACTGATTCGTTTTCTAGACTGGGGAAGACTGCCACCTGGTGGCAATACGTACACTGCAGGCGACAGACATCAAACCCAGAGTTTATAGAATGTCAGAGCTAGAAGAAACCTTAGCTAAGGTCTCTAGCCCCATCTCTAACCTCCCCATTTTAGAGGGCCAAAC